TTGGTCTCTGGTCACGTGATCACTTGAACCGTTCAATTCATGAGAAATGCGATCTATTTCCACTTCCAATTCCTTTTTCTTTTTCTATAACTTCAGTCCATGAAGGTCACGTTCCATTTTCTCACATTCAATTTGCAATTCACTTTCAGAACATCTAACAGTTCATTCTCGGCACTTCGTCCTACCCCAAGTGATTGGCTGTCATGGCTGACTTTACGATCGGACACTTTTCTTGACAAAAACTCCTCGTCCTCAACAATTGCCGAGTGTGGGGAAACTTTCAGAGCTTCCAAAATGCCTGGCATTCTACTCTATTTTTTGTTTAGCGCGAATATCTGGATTAGGTGATGACAAGACATAAGTGAGTGAGTATGGTTTAGTAATATTCCAGCAATATCACGGCGGGGGACACCAGAAATGGGCTTCACACATTGTACCCATGTCGGGAATAGAACCCGGGTCTTCGGCGTGACTAGCGAACGCTTTAACCACCAGGCTACCCGACCGTCCCATATATCGTATTAGATATCAGATATTAACGTGGTGAACTGGGCTAGCGAGCCCGATGCCTGTTCCCGCGCGTATAAGCGTATACCGTGCACTCTGAACAAGGGGTGTAACTCTCATTATATATAAGAGTAAGCTATCAAGCTCTTCACAGCGATATCCCGTACGCGGAGCTCTCTGTACTATCGCTGCCACCAGTCAAAGCTCCCTTCTGTGATAGGTGGCCACAACCATGCTTGGAGTTGAACTCGCAACCGACCGGCCGTTATGTTTACACACAAACGATGACTGCTGTGACCCTGAATACACTTCCCCTAACTTCATTATTTTCTTTGTCAGTTTGAATTTCTATTTCATTTCAACTGTCATGTAATTGGTATAGTAAGAATGTAAGGGGGTATTTGGGTCATTTTTACGATCGTCTGAAATCTCGAACCAATCTGATCAAACAAACAAGAAGTTAAATTCATCTGGGAAATATTGTCAGTCGTACACCTTTTCAAAATTCACTCTGATGGCATTCCCAAAGACATAAACAAAAGTATAAACGTTACTACATTTGGGGTTAGAGGGCAAATTTCAAGATTCTTGTAATGGCCGCGCCCACACTGGTGGCAGCGATGTTACCGAGAGTGTAACGAAGGTGTCACGCGCTGGGAAGGAGCTTGGTAAGCTATGGACAAAGGGAAGTAATTCTACCCAATCATCAAAATATATTTTGTCATTACACAATAGAACGAAAAATACATGGAAAATGAAAACTAATCCTCCTGTTAGCTATTAATATTTAAAGGGATACGTGTCGGGGTGTTTTTTGTCTGGTAACACATATCAATCAGAAAAAGGAAAATTATGCCTCTGAGAGATTCAAAAGGAAACATCAACTGAAATTCTCATCGTTCTGTGTTGTTACCAAGTCATGTTCGTATTGCTGGTAACACGAGCTGGTGCTGCAGCTAAAGCAGCTCTTGATAAATCCGTCTCTTACCTTTCACTTTCCTACGGTGATTTTAAACCATACATCAAGGAATATGTGCGAGGTTTGATGCAGAAAAGATGGGACACCCAAGTAAGTATAAATTTTAAGCCCAAATTAGGCTACACCTACTTGGGTTGTTATTCTGGACGTGGCGAAGTCATTCTCAGACGATGTCGCATTGGCCATACACGCTTTACACGCAAATATATTTTCAAGGGCGAAAATCCTCCATTTTGTGCCCCTTGCATATCTTGCTTGACTGTGTAGACGTTTCTGTCGCAAGGGATAAATTTTATCATTCAACTTCATTAAAGGATCTTTTCACTAATGTCAGTGTTCGTTTAATTCTTGCCTTTTTCAGAGGCATATTGAATTATGTGATAAATTTTTAATTTTTTTAGAATAGTGTTATATTATCACCAACGGATGTTATTTCAGGCAGTGCCACTCGGGGGGTTAACGGGGGGTTAACGTAGTGTAAAATTATTGACCCCCAACAGTGGCACGTGAGTCCATCCACACTGAAGTATATAATATTGCCTTGTGTTTTATTTTCTTGATTGTAGTTTGTTTTTTAATATTGATTAGCATTACATACAACCACTGGTGACCAAAGTGATGGCATAAATCCTGCTGGGAATCATGCAGGAAGCAAAAGCACTGTAATTCCCCATGATGCCCAGTTGGGTTGTCTAGCTTTGATTGCCAGTGGTCTATATAGCCTGGTTTTAATTTATATTTACTAATTGACTGAACAATTCTTTGCTTTAATTTAGATCAGGTTTTAACTTCTTTGATAGGCATTTAGAAGTTGGAGTGTTAAGTAAGGATAAGAATTTATGGATGAACAACTTCTTTATTACATTTAAGAGCGACGTTTCGGTGTAGGTTCTAACACCGTTATTAAGCAAGTGATATACAGAGTGTGGTTGGCAAATATATACTGAACCAAAAATTAAAAACTTCACAATCCTAAAATTTTAACATTTTGACCAGTTATCATTGTGGGCCCTTATTATGTATTTAAACAGTAATGGACACGTATTGTCTTCAGATAACACCCGTTTTTGTGCAGGTGAATCGATCAAAATCATGTGCACAGCACTATAGTGGCAAAAGTGGTTTTTCACGTGCAACTGGTCACATGGCCATTGTATGCATTACCCCACTTATTCTTCCCCGCCCTTAAGGCGGGGAAGTATACGGGAAACGTTAAATTTGTGGCATGTATGTCGACATGTTGGTTTATTTGAAATTTCAAGCCACGCATTTACGGAAACAAAACATACAAATCATGTGCGTCGAATGTTGATGCTATTCTTTTCCAGCAATAAGAGATACTTCAAAATCGTCTTTATGTAGTTAATTGATGCATCTGACCGTTTCTGGTCATTAGCTGACATTATTAAACCATTCATGTGTAATCCGATGTCCTTTTTTCCTCAAGGACTAATTTTCTGATTTTCACGGTGTATACAAAAGAAGAACTGTGCTCCGGAGATCGTAAATAACAGCATAATAAAAAATATGTTCTGAATATGCTTATTCATGAACAACGACGACATCTCAATTTAAATGTAATATGGCTGAATTCCATATTCTACATACCACACTTTTGATTGTTTGGACGCACATGTTCACTGGAAATATTTGGAATAGTTATATTCCGTATTTTGAATTAACCCTGTCCCCCGTGTGTGTTTTTTAATCAGTGCACCGCACATAACCACATGTGAAACGTTTGGTAGCAAAGTCAAAGCAAAATCGGAGTAGTGTGTCAGCGAATTTGCATCAAGGCTGTAGTATTTTTCAACCGTTTAATGGAATTCAATGTACAGCCGTAGCTCTGGTCATTCATATATTTTGTGTCCCATAGCTCAAATCTATTTGCGTCTGTACCGTGTTCCACTGACCTCGATAATCTGTTGGATGAAGGCACAGCTCTCTACAGCCACAAAGTTAACACCGAAGGCTATGAGGAGTATTTAGGTCATAATCAGTCCCCAGCAGCCACTGCCTCAAGCGATATTTTCTACATAACAGATCAGTTTTATGGCTCCGTCACAGGTGCTCCAAATATTGAAGCAGGGAAAACAAATTTCATAGAATCATTTCAAAAAGCAATATTGATATCCACGTCACTTTTGGTAACTTTTAATGATGTCTCCATTGCAATTTTTACGGATTTCGATTCGTATGCATTATTTGACTGTCATCAGCGGAATGGTCTTGGTCAGATTGATCCGAATGGACAAGCGGTTTTACTTCTGTTAAGTAGTATGGATGAATTGTCATGTTACATCTTAACAGTATATATATATCAGGCTACTATGCTTGTCGTAAGAGGCGTCGATCCCAATTGCGTGGATCGATGCTCATGATATTAGGCACTGGATTGTCTGGTCCAGACTCGATTATTTACAGACCGCCGTCATATAGCTGGGATATTGCTGAGTGCGGCGTTAAACGACAAACCAATCAATCATCATCATATGAACTCAAACCAGTCATTGTTACAAGTAAACCACATTCCACAACAGTTACTGACACTGGATAAAAGACAGTATATAGAAAAAAACCAAGTAACTCAACTCATCATGATCACAATTACTATTCTTTGAAAGAAAGAAATACAAAAAAAAACTGACCAAAAAACGTAAAACAAGGGATCTCCGTTATTGATTAGTCCCGGTATTGAAATGTTCTCCAACTACGTGATAATATTTTGAGTATGTGCATCTGTGGTTGTGACAAAAAGACCTTATCTAGTATGACTTTTTTTTGCCATATGGAGCACTTAGTATTTTCATTTACATTATTATAACCAAATGCTAAGTGTAAAAAGAATGTGATCTATTTTTTGAGTATGTGCATCTGCCAATGTTGTTGGCAGTTTTGATACTATTTCCACATGTTTACATTTGTGCAAGAAATTGCTTCCATTTCCTTCGATCTACTTTTTAAATAAAGACCCAGGTAAGAATAGGTCTTCAGCAACCTATGCTTGCCGTAAGAGGCGACGAACAGGATTGGGTAGTCAGGCTCGCCGACTTGGTCGATGCATAACATCATATTCCAATTGCGTAGTTCGATGCTCTTGGTGTCAATCACTGGATAATCTGGTCCAGACTGGATTATTTACAGACCTCCGTCATATGGCTGGAATAATGCTGAGTGCGGCGTTAAACAAGAAACTATTTTTAAATAGACCTACCCTATGCAAATGTATCAACTGTATTGCCCAATACTCAAAATAAATAATATTTTTTTCCACAACAGCGTTGTGTTATTTGTGGTTAATATAATTATGCTCCATCATGCCTTTCAGTAACATCATAATTATGCGTTTGTGAGGCATCACATATGGCGGGAAACTTTGATGCTCTGCATCAATGTTTTCTTGTTTATATGGGCGGAGAGTTGTAAGGAAGGTGTCACGCGCTGGAAGGAGCTTGTGTATAGAGAACTCCGCGAACGGGATATCGCTGTGAAGAGCTTGTATATATATTTCCGTTTGCGCATGTGCCTCATTAAAGGAAGTTTTGGCGGAAGACGCGTGTGTCGTGTATTAGTACATATTTTACGTTCTATTTCTTTAGAAACACATAGCAATGCCTAAACAAGAGTCCTCTTCGGTGAAAGAGGTAATTGGAAAAACTTCTACATTAGATATCGAGTTAGAGGTACAGAACGAACAGTTATTTGAAACAGTTGTGTTCTAAAATCGTTACCACGTTTTCTTGTTATTTGATTTTGAAGTTATTTGGTTGGTTGTTTTACTCGTTGATCAGTACACCCCACTTTGAACGCGTAGAGAATATGTTTTGTTTCTCTTTCATGATTTTACAACCAGTTGTGTTAAAGTTTTGTTATCATTCACAGTGGTCATTCCTGGAATCCATATGTTCGTCTGCACAACTTTCGAAGAACGCTGCAGACGACAATTTATCGATAATGAAAATTCGAGAAAGATACATGTATATGTCATTGTCAGAAATTGTCCAGATATTATAGGATTCTTTTCAGGGTCCCCTTCACAGATGTCTAAAATCTGTACGTTTTTTCTTCTGACTTTTTTTTATTTATCTTTTCAAAGGGCCAGTTCGTCAATGCTTCTGTGTTTTTTTTAATTCATTTATGAAACAATTTTCGAATGTGTAACCAACAACACAAGCTGTGCAGAATAACTGTTGAAGGTCATGTTTTTATTAGAGGCAAATCAAAGAGAAGGCTTGTGTTTATTTCTTAACGATGATGAATGATTTACAAAATACCAATTGCCAGCTTTAGATTAGATGCCAGTGTTTAACAAAGCCTCAATTACAATATAAATACCTCGGTCTAAGGGTATGAAGCCAGTCACATTCTTTCCAACCAGCATAGTACCTTTGCCACATCGTAACATCTTTCACAGACAGTTCAAGATATTGCATATATTTTTCAAGTTTCATTTTTGCCGAGTCTACACATTTAAACATATGTAATGAAATGTTTAACTTTCATTTAAAAACTGTCCAAAAACCTGAACAACTTGTTCCATTTGCGTGAATATACTTTGTTTACGTTATGAAGACCTACAGAGAGATGGCAATATGGTAACTTTGATGTGTAAAGCAAAATTGTCTTGCACCTCTGTCACAGTTGTAGTAACATCTACATAATTATGAAAAACAATGTAAAGCATTCTGAAAGGCTTGCATTAGGCTTGGCTGTTCATCTTTCAGAATAAGTGCGTTTGTTTACAAATGAGAGAAACATCTGGTCATGTGATAAGACTACACATGAATTGTGGTCATTGGAGCAGAAACTTCTCTTGCGGAATAAGGCGAGCAGAGACGAATAAGCTTGGGGGTTATTGGCTGTGGTTTGCAAGCATTGCTTCAGATTGGTCAACAATCTGGCCCTTTGATCCATTGTACATGTTAGACTAATGTTTGTGTGTCAGCCTTCCATTTCTTCTCTATAATTGGGAAGATGTGCAATTTCAATTTGACACCACCCAGTTCAGAAGGCATATCATGTTATAAAATTTGAGTAGACAGGGTCGAATTTAGCTGCAGTTCAATTCTTACAAATTGGTACAATATTAGAAAAACATTGCTGGTGTCTTTAAAGATATTGCTAAAATATTGTTGAAACAACACAAACTCAAAGCTATTTACAGCAACCATGATCAGCTATTGATGCTTTGAAATTATCCTCTCTGGTAGTTGTCAGATAATGGGTCCATATATCAATAATGCAATACTGTTGGACCTGGAGTGCTTCCTGCAATTTATTTTAGTCATCTAATGTTTTTCAGCTGGAAAAGTTTTTTGAGAAGACCAAGAAAGATGTAAGTATTTCACATGTATTAAAATTTCTCTTAAGGGCAAGCTTTCACTAATATTGAAATGTGTTCTCAAAGAAAACGTGTTAATGTTAATTTTATCATCTAGCAGTTACATGTTCTAAAGCTAAAATTATGCACTTGTCTGTTTCAATGTTTAAGTTTATCCATGTAGATTTTGGGTGAGAATAGGTCCAAAGTAGCCTATTATTAAATAAATTGGCTCTGTGACATGGTTGAATCTGATTTAGATGTCATCATACTTTGATCATATCCATCGCATAGGAGTCCTGGACACTAGTCAATCAATCACTAGTTTGTCTAGGTTATTTACAGAAGGAATATTGCAGACTGGTGTTTGCCCTCTTGGTGCCACAGGATCATATATGCAGGGATTCAAATAAACGCTTACCTGTAGGACCGTGGCTAGTAGTTATTATTCTTGACTGAAACTGACGATACAGACGAACTTGAAAATGTGACAATGACGAGATGGCATCACGACAAGACACTGACTGATAGAGCTAGGCAATGTGCAAGAATACTGTTTGACAATGTAGCTGACAGGTTTCCAGACAACGAATTGTATTCTACATTTGGAACCTCTCAGCTAGTTGGAACAACTTCTTCAAGCAAAGATCTTCACACAGCTCTTTTCTCTGTCAAGAACAAGCAGTAATATGCATTAAGGAGTAATGCTGGATAAGTATACAAATATAAAAAATATCTAGGATTTTACTAGATACATTAAGGTAGTGGTATCATAAAACATGGCCCCAGGTAACTTTTGCAAGAGCTTTAATCAATCCAACATTGGTTTTCTTACCCAGTGTACTTTACATTCGACGTAATAAGCGCCCACGGCGATATTTGCTAATATATTGGCTAGTGAACAATCCCCATTAGCACCCCTTCTGATTTATCAATGTACACAAGACTTATTTATTCGCGTATAATACGCACTCGTGTGTTATATGCACCCTTTATTATGGGCAATTAAATTCTGAAAAAATATATGTCATGTATAAACATTTCAAGCTGTCAGCATAAACCTTGAAATTTATCTTTCAACCAAAATAATATTCTAATAATCTCTAATTTTGAGAGAATTTAGTTAGTTACTTGTTCTATATTTGTTAAACATACTTTAAAATTGCAATACAGTGCAATGGAGCTATATTCTAATGTATTGATTTTTAATACTAATTTAAAACTTTGTGTATGTATCAAACACATGTTGAATTGGTGACTTTTGATCGTTTGGTATTTCTATAAAAAAAAAAAGAGTAAACATTTGTGTTTCGTAGTAGGGGTGTCATGTTATATCAAAATATTGATATATTGCTATTGGTAAGCACTTAGAGTCAATAAATCTATTGTTAAATTAGTTTCCAATCAATAGTATTGATTTCAGTTAGGAATATCGATAGTTTTGATTGTATTTACCATATCAATAAAATACATGCAATGCTGTTCAAATTTTTTTTCTTTTGATCATGAGTGGTTGTAATTTGCACATGGTAATGTGGAAGTTTCTTTTTCTTAAATTATATCTCAAGCTTTACTATTTATTTGTTGTTGTGTTTTATCACATTCAAAGGAAACTACAGTTCCACGGTTAAATTCAACTCTAAAATGATACACTGAAAACTATCGATATTTATCGCAATAGTTGCTTGCAATATCAATAGTTATCGCAATAGTGATTTCCAGACAAATAGTCACCCCTTTTTTGTAGGCAACAAACCAGACTTAGACTCGAATACATGTAGCATTCATTTCCAGAGCATAACCTTGAATCCCTTTTATGATTTATTATGAAACCTTTCATTTGTATCAAACGTATGGTGAACTGGTGCATTTTGCTGTTTCCTTGGCAACAAGTTGGATTTAACCCACAGGTTGCTTTCAATACCAGAGCATTTTTTTAATAACCAGGTCCATTAACGGATCCATTTCTGGATCATAAATATCCATATCTTTTTTTAATATATTATCCATGGAACTTTATACCCATATTGATAGGGTACTGGAATTGTCATGCTATTTTGGATTTTCTACAAAAAGATCTACGCTGCTTTGTCTGAGAAATGCTACAAAAGTTATCTAATTGAGATGTATAACACTTGACAAGGAAACTTGTACAGGGTATATGTTGAATGGCGAAAACCTCAACATACCACAACTTACAAGAGACAGCCTTCTTCCTTGCAGTGGATTTAGTAATTGTTTTAGTGCTTGCAATTAGGCCATTCACAAAATATTTCAGTGAAGTTGTCAATAATCACAATGTTATTCATGTATCAATGTGCAGTATGTTCACAGTGTACAGGCAGTGAAAACATCTGCTATTTAGAAACTTTTGTTTGCCTTATATTTTTTACCCTTCTGATCTAATAATCAAGTATTCTAGAAAAATTCAGGTGAGTTACAGAACCTCGTGACTTTGTTTTTCAGATTGTCGTACTTGACAAGATCACTAAACATTTGCTAAACACATTAATAGCATAGGGAATAATTTCATGACAAGTGATCCTGAAGGTATTTAATTTGCATTATGCATGTTATGTCAATCTCATACAAAAGGGAGAAAACCTGATCAATTTTAATTCAGCCATGAGTGAAAAACAGTGTAATAATGTGCTTGTGTCTTTTCAGAAATTGTTCACAATGCTAAGCATGCTTATTGATATCTCTTCAGCTTGAACGTGACCTTGGCACATCGGCACATACTGGTACATTTCAATCCTGAATGTGCTTTTTGATTTACATTTATGCTCTTCTGGTTTTGTTATTCATGGCATAACACATGTTCTTGTTGTGACAGAAGGTTTGTTTCTGTATTTCAGGCAGAGCTATTGGTTAATGATGTTTTCCCACAGAGAATCATGGCTTTGGAAAATCTGCATCAGGTGATCAATCATTCTATCATTAATCTGACCCTAGCTGCAATATTAGTTAGTCAACTAGTTATATATTCAATTATGCTCATGCTTATATTAGTTTTGTAACAATAGTAGTTCTAAATTCGCTTCTGTTACATGATTTTCATGTTTTAATTTCACCGTATTTGCCTTATTAAGCGATCTGCTCAAATATGCACCTCAGACCAACTGCTAGGCCAGTCTGTTAGTAATCTTTTTGAGCACCCCCTACTAAGACTGAAAATCTACATGACTGTCAATATTTTCTTCAATCTCATTAAAATCAGATCTAAGTTCACGCTGCCGCTAAACAAAGATCTGAGGACATCCTGTTATGGCCCATGTCAGAACAACCTTTCGCAAATTCTGAAGTCAACATCAGCCAATTAGAAAGCAGCTTTCTCGAGCTTTACGGCACTTTTCAACCTGGCGATTTCCAATTCAGACTACGCTTGAAAAATATGTTGTGCAACACCTCCTCCGTTCAAATGTTTGTCTCACGGAAGTGAGAGATGGACCATAATTTCGACAGAATCAGTTGTACGGGCCGTTACTGTCGTTCGGAATACCCTGTGTTAATGTTTGCATGATTAGAAAACACATTCGACTGTCGCTTTCATGATCTGGTAAGCGACGCTTTGATTGGTTTGATGAAAGGTCGTTCTGACATGACCCGTAATGGGATGTTCTCAGATCTTTGTTTAGCTATAGCGATAACTAAGATCTGATTTTAATGAGATTGTATTTTCTTGTGTATCTTGCAGACTTTTTTGGCAGCCCAGAACCATTTTGTAAAAGTTTCTGAAAACAAATTTAGCTCGTTGTGTATGGCTTTATTCCTCCTGTCAATTTTCTGAGCTAATTTATGGGCTTATTATGGTGAATATGGTCATTGTAACCTGATAAATAGCAGTGTTCATTCTGAAACTTGACCTTGTCATATCTTTTTCAATTATGACGTAAAGACATGAAAAATATCATGTACACAAGTAAATCTGAAACAACTGGTGGACTTGGGGGCACTGTAGGCCCAGTCATCTAAGGCGCTGCGATTGCTGTGCAGAGTTGCGTCCCTTGGGCACGCCAGAAACCTAAGATTATGATTTCGAATCCTGGTTCACCCCGATTATGTTTCTAGGTTTGTCAGCACCATACCCGTGCTTGTGGGTTTCACAGAAGTGGTAAACATGTGAGACCTGCATCACTTCGGGCTTTCCTCCCACATTAAGCTGACATGCCCTGATATAACTGGAATAATGTTAAAAGCAGTTGAACTGGTCGACTAGTCAACGTTCTTTTGTTCACATTGCATGTTATTCAGTTAAATATGATGATTGTAAGTACTGACATGATGGTATACCTTTATCATTCTGGAAGTAAAATCCATAAAACTTTGCCTAACAAAAAGCACAGATTTGTTCATTTGAAGGTCAAAATCACTCTGTGAGAAGTAGACGTTGCAAAAACCTTTGGATACACAATATAACTTGAGCATTTATGATTGGAATTTGATGAAAATATCTCCAGGCAGTTCATGGCTGCGATTGAAGGTCAAGGTTTTGTTATTAGGTAGCTAGAGGCAGTCTTTTCTGTTTCAACTTGTACTGCTTTGAGCATGCATTTTCCCAAACCAGAAGTTAATATACCGGAAGTACTCGTAACTTTGTTATTGGGCATATGTGGTCTCAACTGTCACCTGATTTGTTAAAGTCAAAAAAGTTTATGATAAGTATGATTCCTGTGAAAAAGTCCCTACCTCCATTGCATCATTGCCATAATAATTGGCTGTCATCACACCATCAGCATTAGAAATTGGTACTAGTCCTATTGTCCTTCCAAACTACCCAAAAGTTAAGACATGATAAAGGACTAGAAGAAATTTGCAATTTTTATGGGTTATATGTTGTAGTTATAAGGACTAGTGGACCTAAAATGTTAGTTTCTACTGCTGGACCATAAAGATCTTTAGATTTTCAATTGAAGCTCTCTTCACTGTTGGCTGTTCATAATCAGCCGTACAGATAATAGTCTATCACTGCCCAGTGCTCTTGTGCACATAACAAATTCATGGCGGATGTGCTGTTGGTGACAGCCTGTATCCCCTGGCCAAGAGGACAAAGGGGGTTCGGTCGTTTATTGGGTCTGGTGTCACGGATGACACAGAGTAGATCATGTCCATGGATAGACACACGATAGGGTTGTACAACCCCTTTAAGCTCAGCTGGCATGAAAGGCCATGTGAGCTAATGTAGGTGGCGGCACCATTCATATATGTTTTACATTTTTAACTTCTCTTGAATGGCTGTCAACATCTGAAACATCTATTCTGAAATTGCCAAACAGTTGAAGCTAAGCTTAAGAATGTATGTTTCTCCTTATGTTAACATCCTATTTTGATCCAATTGGTTAAATCCTCAGCATTTATGCTTTTTGGTTAGCAGCAGTCTTTGTTGACAGGGCTGACCATTTGATTTTTGAAGGTGGGGTAAGGTAAGGGGTTTGAAGTAATACAAAAACAGTCGGCTCCAAAACTTGGGGGAGGGATGGTGGAATAATATGACCTCTCTCTCTCTCTCTGGATCTCTCTCTCTCTCTCTCTCTCTCTCTCTCTCTCTCTCTCTCTCTTTCTCTCTCTCTCTCTCTGAATCTCTCTCTCTCTCTCTCTCTCTGAATCTCTCTCTCCGAAATAGTTTGCTGTCACCTTCCAAAGAAAAAGAATTGTATGCTTTACCCTTTCTTTTGTGCCTTGTTCCAGATATGACATTCTCTACTTTCATATTTCATGCGTATACATTTGAACTATGAATCACTTGTGTTTCAGTCTATGAACTTGACCAAGTTGTCGGAAGTCCACAATGACTTAAACATCCCTGTGCCAGATGCTGTACTGCTGCTTCCTGACACTGAAGAGGTTGGGAAATTGGTTTATTAGTACCTCACATGTACCATGATGTGAGCTCATGTCAGCTTGTGTCTATCTGCTACCATTGAACCCTGCTTATGGGTGCTGGTTACTGGGTTAAACTTTGTTTATCTTTCAGCTTGTTTTTTCATTAATTTCGGATACATGCCTACTCCAACACTTGCCAATAGCTGCAAAAGCAAAGGGAATTGATGTGTACTTCATTGGTTAGGCAACAGATCAAAGACATCACATGTTAAGAACATGAAGAAAGTGAGAATAATTTAAGGGAATGATGGAAATGCAGTTATAAAATATATATATATATGAAAAATATCTGTTATACAAAAGGTGTACCAGCTAATCTGGAATTATCCCTCTTATACTTAATTCAGGCTTTCTACTGCAGGCTGTGTCAGCTTGCTTGGCACTCCTATAGATCGAGGCGAGTTCTCATTTAAACTTAATTTATAGACAAAATACAGTACAGGTATGAAAAAGATATCAGATAAAATTGGTGATTGTATATACAAGCTTGAATAGTTATTTTGGACGAAATGTGAAGTTTCACTTTCAAACATCCAGGCTTGATGTCAAACACCGGTTGACATAGCCAGTAGAACCTGAAACTGCTAGAAGAAAAATGTGAGATTGTCTACCCTGTGCATAGTACGACCCCATTTCATAGCTCCTCATTCTATGGTCTAAAATCTCGCACTATAGACGGAGATATGTAGTATTCTAAAATTTGTCTGTACAACCCAAAGAGATATACCCGTAGATATCTGAATCGGATTGGTGTTACCTCCAGGGACTTGTACCTTCAGAGTACAATATCTTGAAGTGCAAAAACATGCAAAAATTGAACTTATGTTGTAAAAAGTTGAATGTTTTTGCAAGTTAAGTTTAAAAAAGACTATAGAACATCATGCATGTTGGGTGTAAAATATTGTAATGATCTTTGATCAGTAAAATCTACCATGAATTTGGAAAATACTTGATTCTGAAACATTACTACCAGTACATTTATTTGTTTTGCAAAAGATAACAATATAACTCCCATACAACAACGATCTGTAAATAATCAAGTTTGGACCAGATAATCCAGGGATTGACATCATTAGCCTCGATCTATGCAATTTGGAAAACACCCGTGTGACAAATACAGTCTCTATTGAAGTAATAACAAAGCCAAAATCACAAATAAATGAAGAATTTTTGAATCTTGAAGTACAGAAACGTCTGTGTTTGTATGCCATTGACTCAAAGCATAACAAAGAAGCCGAAAATCAAATAATTCTTTGACAGCTGTCAGCAAAGTTTGTCTTTTTAAATAATTGAAATTAAATCCATTTGCACCTTTAAGATCTTAAACATTACATCTATTGGAATGATATGTTATTGTCTATATTTCTTTAACAAGTTTCGTCTTTATTTGATAACTGACAAGTTTACTGAATTGAAGCAATGCCCTAAATGTGGGTGAAAATAAAACACACCGACGCACTGCACTGCACAGGGCTGGTTTTGTTTAAGAAGCCCTTTACAAACTGAGCCTGGATACCCGTTCCACTTGGTCACCTCTTATGACAATGATATGTACAATTGTAGGTTACAAAAGACACATTCTAATATTCAAAGTATGTGTGGCATATATTTAGGGCAGAAAACAATTTTACATCTTATTACTTTTATCCATGATTTCATTTAATTTTTAATCGTTAGAGATACAAAGTTTTTGGTCTTCCTATCACTGTAAGAGTATGTTTGGAGTTCTTTTTTAGTATAGCTACTATTTAAAACATTGACAAATCAGATTAGTTGATTTTGTTGGATGGAAAATTCGCAGAAACAATAAAACACATGAAAAACATGTGAAGGTTTCCAATGGCAATGAAACAAAAGTGGGGTTTTACATACTATAAGTTGCCCAACTTCATTTGCAGATGGCACCAGAACAGGGGGATATTATTATCTTGTTATATATATTGTTAAAATAACATAATGGTCTTATGAAACTTATCACTGTAAACACATGGGACCTAAAAGATGTTATTTTTTTATCCTATCCTGAATTATTACCTTGCTGCTTCTACTGTTTTGTTTTTGTTTTTTTTAACCTAGGAGGGGGGATCGATGAGAGGTCTGGTCTACAGAAGTTGTTGTACCCACTAGTTGTGTGGCTTCCTTCCTCCCACAGCTACCACGGGACCGAAAGTGGCAAGATCGTGCACAATCACATCACTGCTAGTGATCGACCTCTCAAGACGTTTGAGAACTGAGCTCCCCAGTTTGAAGACCAGATAACATCCTCTGCCTATCCTTTTGTTTATCCTTTGATAACCAATATGTTCTCAATGATGTCATTTATAGTCTGGTGTACTGGGGTGTTTTTTTTCAGGCTTGTGTAAGATTAATTTCTTCCTGACTTCAATTTTTGGTGTGTTGTACGTTTTACCATGTAGCCATGTTTACATGTCTTGTGCTTTGATATTTCTATATGTCTATCTTAGCTCTTGTTCATGTGCTAAATACCTTTCTTTCTAGGCTTTTTAAGTGTATGATTATACTCTTTATATCCGTGCCATTGGCGCGATTGTCGCCTCAAACTTTTCAATAGCTCCTCTTAAACAGCATATGTGCACAGCTTTATAGCCTGCAACTATGACTACTTCTCGTCCAGCTTTGCCTCCCTTAGAAGATATAGGAAACCACTACACCTTGTTGGTCTCACACACATGACTCTACCTCTCCCGTCTCTTCCTGTCGTACATCCAGATCGTCTCACTTTAGAAGTTGGTCATGCAGTCTTTCTCCATTTTGGCACGTACTTAGGTCTTAACCAAGTGCCTGACTGGATGGTAGATGTTTGTCCTTTGTCGCTCCCTCTGTTGATATTAGGGAAACAATTAGTGTTCCCCCACATCCATTCATCCAGACCCAATGCCCACAGGTTTGATTTTGGCGTTGGATGATGATTTCTCAAAACCGCCATCACTCTGACCTTCAAAGCACCTCAGAACCGGAAGTTAGATTTTCGCATCCATGCGTTTGAACTCGCAGATAATGCGCATACACTTGACAATAATCTCCATCGCATGACAGGAGCTTGAGCCATCGAGCAGGATCTTACAGAGGACAATCCTAATTGAGTCAATCCTTTGCGAACGATAATGTCCTTTCAGCAACGCTAAATCGACCACTTAAGCAATCATCTCGCCTTGGCGGATATTACCACCACTAGGCGCGTAGGTTATCTTGCTCTTACGGACTGAGATTCCAAATTTAGAAGGCACTTTCTATGTAAACCCTGGAGTGCATCCTCGTTATTTGAAGGTGCTATTTCTGAGACTGATGCACGCATCTCCAGTTTTGCCAGCACTCGAGGCTTTGGAGCACGTCTACAATCATTCTATATCTAAACCAGACAAGATTGGCAATTAACAGCCTAGGCCCTCTTTTAAGGCTTCTTTTAAGACTCTTTCTTCTTCCATTCGTGGCAAAGGCCAGGACCATACAAAACCCAAAGGGAATTATCAACTCTGCTGTCGCCAACACAAGCTCAGGGGTAGTGATCGCGAAGGCATGTGCCCGGAGCCTGGGATCTCCCACCTCCAGTTGTCCCAGTCATAGACACACCAGAAGGTGGGAGATTGGGCAGGTTTGGGGCCAATTGGACAATTCTTCAAGATCCATTTGTGACCATCATCCTCTGTCAGGGCAACAAGCTCAAGTTGGAACTCATTCAATCGTTGAAGCTCCAGTTAATAGGCGGCCAGTTACGCATGGACCAGGATCTCTTCCTGGTACCAGACGTCAGGTGGCACAAAATACAGCACCATCTTCTTCCTGCCCTTCATCAAGCGTGCACCCTGCGTCAATGGCAGGTACTAAAGGGACTTCTCAGGATCTGACAGCCAGAGGCTGACTACAACTACATCTGATTCAGCAGTTTCTGGCTTCGTTTATTAGTTTACAGACCCCGCTGAGTTCCAAAGCACTCCCATCTCACCACTGCCCGTATCTTCGTTGGTGGGCAGCAAGATCGGATGTCTGCGACAGCGTCTCCTTAACACTGCTCAAGCTTCCCTCGCTCTGTTTGTCGACGCATCATGACAGGGTTTGGGGGCACATCTGGAGGATCAGACTGCCTCCAGTCAAAGTTGGTTGGTTGGTTTGTTGTTTAACGCCGCACTCAGAAATATGACGGCGGTCTGTAAATAATCGAGTCTGGACCAGACAATCCAGTGATTAATATCATGAGCATCGATCCACGCAATTGGGATAAGATGACATGCATCAACCAAGTCAGCGAGCCTGACCACCCGATCCTGTTAGTCGCCTTTTACGACAAGCATAGTAGCCTTTTACGGCAAGCATGGGTTGCTGAAGACATATTCTACCCCGGAATCTTCACGGGTCCCTCCGGTCAAAGAATCAACTCCAATGGCACATAAACAATCTAGAACTAGATGCACTGATCCTAGCCCTGTCTCACTGGCAGTCCCGGCTTCAGTGCCAAGTACTAGCCATATCCACAGACAACACAACAGTCGTCTGGTGTCTGCGCAACCTGGGCTCTTCTCATTTGTCATCCTTTCTGTCTCAGACCTTTCAGTTCTTCCAGTTGGACTGCACATGAGGTTCATCATACAGCACATCCCCGGTTGTCGCAACATCCTGGCAGATGCTCTCTCCAGATCTGACAAAGTGGCTCCTAAGGAGTAGATGCTCCACTCGGATGCCTTCACCTTGGTGTGCCAGTGATCTGGCCTGCCACTTATCGACCTACTTGCCACCAGCAGGAATATATCAACTCCGCACCTACATCTTCCCAGTCGACGCATTCAGCATTCCATGCACTTTTCTGCCATCTGTACTGCTTACCAGGGTTCTGAAAAAGATTTTAAAAAACACCAAATCTATCTTGGTAGCTGGCTCGGAATGGGTTCGTTGATCTTTGAGACCTCGCTAGTCATGACCCTCTTGAATTCCCATGGTGGCCACAC